AGTAGAAGTTATAGAATTGGAGAAATGTTTGTTGTGTTTATTTTTGCCACAATTAGAAAAATAATAATAATTACATGAATAACAATGAGTACAAGGAAGAAAATGTTGTAGTACTGAGTATGGTGACAATTGTACAACTTATTCTTGATAAGACTGAATTTTTGAACTGCATGACATGTGGATTATAGTAATAAAACTAAAGAAGAATCTGCTATAGAGCTTGTTTCAAAACACAAATGAATGGCAGACGGGGGGAAAAGTGTAAATCAAGAATTATTAAAACTTTTCATATATCTAAGGACTTTATATTCTCATTAATTTTAATATTCAAAAATAAAGTGTATCAATCCATTTCTTTCAACCTTAAACTAGCAGATGCCAATTTCTGTTCTTATTTGTCCCCCAACCAAAAGACTTAGCAACAGTGGCAACTCCCTAAAAGAAGTCTCTGAGTGGCAAAAAACAGCTAAGAGTTCAGGTACTAACCAAAAAGTATGTATGTATCCATTGATACCCTGGAAGGAAAGCTTGGTAATCTACCATAGAAAGATCATAATCCCTGAAAATAGCATGGAACAAAATTTTACTCTGACATACATGGTGTTATCCTGTCAGAACCAACTGGATTTTTTGTTGTTGTTGTTCATTTGTTATGTCAAAAGGATTTAAATCAGTCTTAAAAACCTAAAGTAAAAAGACAGTCTAGAGTAGTCATTAACCAACATGAGCTAAAATAAGTCTGACTTTCAGGATTAAAGTAAACAGGCTTATAGAAAACATCCCCCCCCCCCCACCGAGCACCAGTGTTAAGGTAACAAGAGACAAATAAAGCTGTTAAAATTATTTGAAAATATATAAGCAGATAATTCAGGGATTAGATACCGTAATCAAAAGCAGGTCAGATAGACTTATACAGATTTGTGCTTAATGAGACAAGCAAATAAATTCAGAAGGGTTAAATGGCATTTACCTCCGTCGATTTATTTATAAGCTAATCTGAGATGCCTACTAAAACAATTTTCAATAAAAACAAAAAATGCCTCCTTATATACATACCCAAATCAAACACAGATTCGAGTTCCATTTCTAAGTGGAAAAGCATGGAACTTACTGTTATATTCAAATTTTTACTGTGATGAGATCTTATTTTGAACAGTGTGCAAGAGTCATTTCCTTGGCTGTTAAAGAAGCTGAGGGCAGATAGTGGCCTTGGTAGATTTCAGAAGATAGCACCAAAACAGGGGTGGATGGGTGGGTGGGTGTGTGTGGATGTGTGTGTGTGTGTGTGTGTGTGTGTGTAAAGGTATTACACATACCTTACCATTTATTCTACTCTTTACCTTCTTCTCAAACTGTAATTTGAGTAGTCAACTACTTTAATATTCTTAAATGGTCTTTATAAACACATTTCCAAAACATAGCTTTAGCCCTCTTTTGGGTTCTAATTCCACAAATTCAATTAATGGTGGACAGAAAATACTGAAGTGGGCGTAGTGGTAGGGGAAGTAATTAAATGGGCAAAACAATTCCTCAGTCTCAGGTGTTACTGATATAGAGCTTACTAGAAGCCCTGATGGCTTTGTGGTTATATGGTCAACAGTTCAAAACCACTATTGGCGTCATGGGAGAAATGAACCTTTCTACTCCTACAGTAACAGCCTCGGCAGTTCTACCCTGTACCATAGGGTTGCTATGAGTCAGAATGCCCTCAATGGCAATGAATTTTTTTGTTTTGTTTTTTTAAAAGGGGGTGGGTGGGTGCCATAAGTTATCTTGAGATGACTTAAAGCTTAGAGGGAAAATATGTATAGGTCATATGCAAATACTACACCATTTTATATAGGGGTCTTTAACTTCTGTGGACATTTAGTATCCAAAGGGTTTCTGGAACCAATCCCCTCTTTCTCCACTATTCAAGAATATGAAATACTAAGGGACAACTGCAATCTGACCACACTACAATAGCTAATACTGCTGACCTCTTAAATATTCTTTATCTTGTTTCCTCTCAGGCTCTATCTTGGGTTTTGTCCTTTTCATCCTTTGCTTCTCAGGAGGTATTCTCCACTCAATATTCAAACACATATTTGCCTGAAATGTGTTCTCTCTGTGCCCTCTATGTTCTTCCCTCACTCTCAGTATCTACATCGGTGCCCACAGCTCCAACCCAAATGTACAAAGGGCACTTCAAAAAGTTTGCAGGGAAATGCCATTATCTTTCATCCCATTTTCCACAAACTTCTGAAGCCCCCTCCTGTTCCACACCTAACTATTGCATGTATCATCAAATCATAAAAACATATACTGTATTTCCTTTACATGGCAGGAATCTTTTCTCTCCATCCCCACTATCATCATGTTAGCTGAGGGTCTCATTATTCTCTCCCTGAAAAGGCAATATAAATGATCTCTTCACCACTAACATGCTGGATCCTACTACTAAAATAAACTTTCTAAAACTGAAATTTGAGCATAATGTTCCTCTGCCAAAAATGATGTAGCAGGTCTCTATGGCTAGCAGAAAATGTTTACCCTGACTTTGCCTCCACATAATGCCATCAGGGTATTCTCCAATAAATCCTGAATAGCAGTCTGACTTAAACTATCACTTTATCCAGTAAATTTATAGACTGGTTTAGATACTTGCTCTCAAGGTTCACACAACATTTTTCTAATCCTCTCTGATAACAGTTTTACTCAGGTAAAAGTTTTCTTCATTAGACTCCAACAATCTCTAGGGAAAGAATACTTTACGTTCCCTGTACCTGACACATAGAAAGAAGTTAATGCATGACTTTAGTAGGAATATTACTGGGGATTAAAGGAGAATTTATATTTTGATAAATAGCCCAATGATACTGAACTTGCTCCTTTAACTAGAATAGGGAAACCCCTTTTTTTGTCACTGAAGTGGAAATTAAGGTTTATTTTTATTTTCCAATAGATCCAAAACTTCTATCTTCTCAATCATTTGTTTAAAGGTATAAGTCTGTCCTTTGTAAAAAGGCAAGAGTAAAGGGGACAGTATACTAGACTGTTAATAAAACTAATTCCATATCCCCCACAAACTTCTTCCAGTCAATAAAGATCCTGTTCCACCACTAACACCTCTTCAAAATGTTTTACCCTCTCTAGTTTTCTTTCATTCATTGTTCAGCCAGTCTTACAGTGTGTGTGTAAAAGGGTGTGTGTGTGTGTGTGTGTTGTCAGAGTAGCGGAACCTAAGGCAATAAGAGAACACTTGTCCGTCCCACCAATTAACAAGATCTACTCTATATTTAATTTTCACACCTAGGCTGGTCACATCCAATCCTTCAGGGAATGATCTTGAATCCAAAAAAAAAACACAAACAAAATAGTTCCATTCTCTTTGGAAGGGCCTGGAGGTCAAGTCACATTAGTCTTGGGTTTAAAACTCTCCAAGAGAAGTGGGTTAGGGAAAACTGCATGGAGTTTTGGTTGGTTGGTCGGTCGGTCGGTCGGTCGGTCTTGGGGATGGCAGGTGGTGCTAGAGATTACAACTGAGCTCTGAGTCAGTAACTCAAACAGTAATTTAAATGATACTGACCAGAAAGGACTTACTACAGGTACAAGAAGTTAGCAGTTACCTTAACTTTCAGTCACCTTGTCCTTCTCTTCCCACACACTGGCCAGCACAAGCACTAATTTTCCTTTTCATGTGGAATAAAATCGTTATAATGAGTACTCATAGGTTAAAGGCAAAATAATATAAAATGTGCCCTACACATCTTCAAGTGTTTTCTCAGGTCACAGGACTGTCACTCATCTCCCTTAAACAGCAAAAGCCTAACAGGAATAGTACCTTATGAAAAGTCCTATACTGTAGGCTCACACCGAATAGAAAGTAGTCAGAGGCAGTGGGGTCAAGACTGGGGCCCGGAATGAGGAGAGCGGAGATCAGAGATGAACTGTCATAATGAAATACTTGAAAAATTAAGAAACCGAAAGGTCATTCATTCTTTACAAAATTATAGAACCCAATTCTGTCATAAAAAGGCATGAAGGTATTTGGAAACTCCCTCAATTCTCAGGTATCTGCAAACCTACGTTAGGGACACCTGATAGAAATTTTAAGTTTTGGAATGGAGCCTGGGAATAAGTATGTTTGCTCCAAAAGTCCCCCGGGGGCCTAGGTTTGGCAGGGGTGTGGCATCCTAGACGGAAGGGTTCTCTCCAACCCCTAATGATCCCTTAGGATGAAAACGGTCCTGTCCACCTGCTCGTCCAAAGAGCAATCCCGCGGGCTCACCTGTCCCTTTGTGTCCGGCCTCACCCCTGAGAACGAACACCTCATCTTCAGTGCTTTCCTCGTAACCCCCTCCCCCCCTATTTCCACACTCCCGTACCCACGTAAACCAGCCGAAGGCTAAAACAAAGGGAAACGATCCTTTCAATACCCGGAAATCCTGTCAGTTCTAACAGGCCGAAGAAGACAAGCCATTCTAGCCCAATTCCAACATCCCCCGAATTTGAAAGGAAACCAACCCCTCCCGGGAGGGGTCGGGGAGGCCGCGTCGAGAGGTAAGTTACGTAAGGGCCGTCGGCGGCCCAAGGGCTGGAGGCCGGGTTCTGAAGTAAAAAAGGACAAGAAAACAACTACAAGGCGGGCAGGTCCCGGCGCGGGCACCGCGGGCCGCGCGTGACACTCGACACCCCAGCCGTCCCTCGGGTTGCTAGGAAACAAAAAGGGCCCGCGGTCCCCGTCATTCCTCCCGGGCCAGGGCGACGGAGGCCTCCGAGGCCTGGAGACGACAACCCGGGCCGGCCCGCTCGCCACCCTCCCGGGCGCGCCACGCGGGGACTCGCGGGCGGGGAGCGGGCCTGGCGCCCGGCCGGGGCTCTGACGGGGCGAGGAGCGCTCGGGCAGGCCGCGGCGCGCTCGGTTCCCGCCAGGCCGCGGCCGAAGGTCCCGGGAGGGGACGGGGCCTAAGACGACCACCCGGTTCCGCGCGGGGACCCCCGGGGGCGCGTCTACTCACACGTGCTGACAGGCCGCGGTCCGCACGGGCGTTTTGAGCACCTCCTGACAGACGGGGCAGTAGAAATCATCTTCAGTGTAGGACGTGGCCGCGAAGAGCTCCTCGGCCATGGCGGGGGGTGAGGGATCAAGGCGATGGCGGCTGCGGCCGAGGTGGCGGTGGCGGCCCGGGGCCCGACTCCCTGCGCGAACCCGAAGGAGGAGGGAATCGCGTCAGGAGGCTGCTCGCGCCGGGGCGGGGGGCGGGGCCGGGGGCGCGGCCGGAACGCGGAGACGCTGCCGCCACACACGCGGGCGTGGGCCCGCCTTCCAAGGCCGCGCTGCCCGGAGCTACCCGCGGGGGCGGGGGCTGGAGGGGGGAGCCGGGGCGGGGGCGGGGCTGGAGGCGGAGCCGAGGGAGGAAAAGGGAGCTGTCGGCTTCACTTTCGCTCCCACCAGCCCTGGGCGCTCCGAGAAGGATCGGCTACCTTCCGCTAGAGGCCTTGCCGGTACCTGGCTTCTCAGCGGGGCCGCGGCTCAGCCTCCTGTCCCGCGTCTTTGCCCGCGGACCCCTCTGGCCCCGCTGCCCGGTGGAGCACCCATGCACGGCCTCTCCTTCCTCTAGCCCCCCGGCCCCCACAGGCGCCCGTTTCTTTCTCGCCGCGACACCCCTTTCCGCGTGGTTCTACCTCTTCCCCCAGATCCCGGGCAGCTTGCCCCGCTTCACGCCCTCCACCCCCCCACCCCGCCCCTTAGCTAGCGTGGAGGCTCACTTAGGAGCCGCTCAGCGGCGCTCGAGAAGCTGGCCAGTCCCTGTCGCTGGTTGGCAGAGAGGTGACCCAGCTCCAGCTAGCCCTGCAGGCTTCGTGCCCAGCCCCTGCTTCCTCCGCAGCTGAAGTCCCGGGAGAAATGCGGGCCCGGAGCGCGGCTTGCTCAGTGCTCATCGGCCCAGAAGTGGGTCGAGTCCGAGGTTCATGGTGCACCGGGATCCCACAGCCCCCCGCCAGCAGCTCTCCCATGGCACTGCGCTGCCGGCAGCCTGCCCGTGGGGTCACGGAGCGCCAGAGAGCTGCCGGCCGGTGGCACAGGGCGGGGAAAGACCGGAAAAGGACCCCTCCATGGTAACCGTCGGGTGGCGTCTTCAGCAGGTTGTGACATAAGCAGCTGATGCCCACCTACAGCTTCCCTCCATTTGCCATGGATCAAATACATTGGATTTTTTAAGGAATTCCTCAAACGGCAACAACAACCCCTCGCGTTGAAGAATTTTGCCACTTAAAACTTTGCCAGAACGTTCTCGCATGTTAAAAAAAAATGTTATGAAGTGTGAGAAAGGTACGGGGGAAACGTCTGAGCTCTTGTGTTACAAGGGGAAAGGAGAATGAAACTCAGTCAGCCTCAAGCCTCCGGCCTTGCCCTCAGTCACGGGGCCCCTTGGCACAGGTAATATTGAGAGATCTTTTAGCACTGCTGATAAATGCCCAGAAAGCACACCACATAAGACAGCCCCTAGGCACTTGGCTATAGCTCCGAGTCTGCAAACCTGTCTTTCCTAGTTCAGAGCCAGGAGGTACCCCTTCCCCTAGGCTCTTGGTTCTGCTATTGCTACTACTCTGCCACTCTGCTGCTAGTCTGGTGTCACAGCTTTCTGTCCCTGAATGAAGGAGGATTAAAATGCTGGTACCTCAGGGTCCAAAAGACCTAGTCTGCTCTGCGCTCTTCTGCCTTAATGGTAGAGATTCTCCCTGCTGCTTCTGAGATCACTCATTTGAAACTCAACAGGCTGGCAAAATTGGCCAAGCCGCTCATTAGATTGCTAAGTTTTAATCATCACAATTGACCCTGTTAACAATCGCATATATATTTCTTTTACAGATCATTTTATTGGGGGTTCTTACAGCTCGTATAGCAATCCCTATATCAGTTGCATGTGTATAGCTTTTATACCAATCCATATATCAAATGTTGCCATTGTTATTTTCTAAACATTTACTTTCTATTTGAGCCCTTGGTATCAGCTCCTCTTTTTTCCCATTCCCCCCTTGATGAATTATAAATTATTACTTTCATATTTTACACAGACTCATGTCTCCCTTCACCCATGTTTCTGTTGTTTGTGCCCCTGGGGGAGGATGGGTAGTTATGCATCCATCATAGTGATGGTTCCCCCCTTTCCCTCCCCCTTCCTTTTACCCTCCTGGTATCACTACTCCCGTTTCTTGTTTCTGAGGGCTTTATCTGACCTGGATTCTGTGTGTTGTGAGCTCTTATCTGTACCAATGTGCATGCTCCAGTCTAGCCAGAACTGAAAGGCAGGACTGGGGGCACGATAGTGGAGGGTGAGGAAGTCTCAAAGAACCAGAGGAATATTGTGTGTTTCATCAGTGCAATACTGTGCCCTGGTTGACTCATCCCTGCCATGTGACCCTTCTGTGAGGGGAAGTCCTATTGTCTACAGATTGGGTTTGGAATCTCTGCTTGACTCCCTTGTTCTCAACAATATGTTTTTTTGTTTCGTTTTGGGTCTTCTGATGCCTGTTACCTGATCCCGTAGACACCTCATGATTGCACAGGCTGCTGTGTGCTTCCATGTGGGCTTTTTGCATTTCTGCTAGATGGCCACTTGTTTAACTTCTAACCTTTAAGATTCCAGACACTTTATCTTTTAATAGCCGGGCATCATCAGCTTTCTTCATCTCAGCAAATCATTTACTTCTATAAGCATTTTCTCCTACTTTATCTTACCAGAGGGGACAAAGGAATGGCATCAATTTGCATAGCCCCACCCAGTCATTTAGTGGGAGTTACATTGACTATGGCTAAAAGAACCGTATTAAGTAATTCACTGAATACCACAAAGCAGATAATATGTTATGGAATTTTAATCCTTTGTGGGTAATAAATTTTAAAATAAGCGCCATGAGATACGTTCAGCTTTTTTACACGACATGACTGCTTCTGAAATATTCTGAGGACTCACAGTTGCAGATGTTTTCTACCCACGTCTCTTTTATCGCTGTTTGTTTTTTGAAAGCTTTGAAGAAGAAAAAAAAAGCTGGGGAAACATGGATCTAGTCATTTTCCAAGATTATGAATGTAACTCTTTTTGTTTTAAGTTGATTTCAGTTGCTTGCTCTTATTTCCTCAATAAACCCACACAACTGATAATCCCCAAGATGGGGTCCCAATGACATGGGAGAAGCTAAGCAAAGTCTGGCACATCCTCATTTAGCTTCATGAAAAAAAGGTTTCACTACCATCCTACATTTATTCTTTAACAGCAAGAACAGTGAAAGTGAGGGGGAGGCTGGGGAAAGGAATTGGTGTTAACAAACCCAGGGACAAGGGAACAACAAGTGATCCAAAATCTGTGGGAGGAGAGTGTGAGAGGCCTGGTAGGGTTTGATCAAGGGCAATGTAACTGAGAAGAATTACTGAAACCCAAATGAAGGCTGAGCATGATGATAGTGGGACAAGACGAAAGTAAAAGGAAATAGAGAAAAGAACTAGAAAGGCAAAGGGTATTATAGAGATCTAAATACAGGCATGTACATATGTAAGTATATTTGTATAGGATGATGGAGAAATAGATCTATGTGCATGTATTTATAGGTTTAGTATTAAGGTAGCAGATGGACATTGGGCCTCCACTCAAGTACTCCCTCAACCCAAGAATACTTTGTTCTATTAAACTGGCATTCCATGATGCTCACCTTCCCGACAGGATCGCTGAAGACAAAGATAAGCAAATGTGAAGAAAGCTGATGGTGCCCGGCTATCAAAAGATATAGCATCTGGGGTCTTAAAGGCTTGAAGATAAACATGCGGCCATCTAGCTGAGAAGCAACAAAGTCCACATAGAAGAAATGCACCAGCCTGTGTGATCACTAGGTGTTGATGGGACCAGGTATCAGGCATCAAAGAACAAAAAACCATATCATTGTGAATGAGGGGGAGTGCGGAGTGGGGACCCAAAGCCCATCTGTAGGCAAGTGGATATCCCCTTAAAGAAGAGTCAGGGAGGAGACAAGCCAATCGGTGCAGTATAGCAATGATGAAACATACAATGTTCCTCCAGTTCTTTAATGTTTCCTCACACCACCCCCACCCCCACTATCATGATCCCAATCTACCTTACAAATTTGGCTAGACCAGAGGATGTATACTGGCACAGATAGGAAGTGAACACACAGGGAATTCAGGACAGATGAACCCCTCAGGGCCAGTGGTGAGAGTGGTAATACCTGGAGGGTGGAGAGAAGGTTGGGTAGAAAGGGGGAACCAATCACAAGGATCTACATATAACTCCCTGCCTGGGGGACAAACAACAGAAATGTGGGTGAAGGGAGACATTGGACAGTGTAAGACATGGCAAAATAATAATTTATTAATTATCAAGGATTCGTGATGGGGGAGGAAGGGGAAAAATGGGCTGATACCAAGGGCTAAGTAAAAGATTAATTTTAGCTTCAGATTTCCTAAGCGGGGGTAGGGGCAGAGCACATGATGAGGGAGAAGGGGAGCTACTTATAGCCACTGTCCAGATACCTTTCAATTACTTTATGAAATGATTCATGGGTTCCAGGGTATTTTTAGTAATATATTTCCATGCATATTCCACTCATTTTGACTATTTTAGGAAGTAAAGTGCCTTCTACTTAATTGAATATTGCCCTTACTCTAGGAGCCATACGTAGAAAGTCTGTTTTGTGACTTTAATTCTATTTGTTTCTTTCACGTCAGTGGCAGCCTTACTCATTCTCTAGACCGAATAAATTTCTATAAAACCAGTTGACAGAAGCCAATTTGACTCATGGCAAGCCCATGTGTAGCAAAGTAGAACTATGCTTCATAGGGTTTTCAAATGGCTATATTTTTCAGAAAGAGAACTCCAGGCCTTTCTTCAATGCATGATTAACAATTCTATATCAATACTTTGTTAGTAACTCAACCTCCTAGCAAACCTGTCTTGATGACAGCATAACTTTATGAAAACTTTGGGCTCCTAGCAGACATAAAGTTTCCAAAGGGAGGAAAACTGACAATTATCTCAGTCTTCTAAGTATTGGGCCATTTTATCTCTGTGGAAGGCATTTCTTCTGATCCCAAATGGAAGGAAGTTATCCTTGCCTATTCTATGCTGGAAACAAACCGCTATGAGGATTTCTGAAGTATTGTCCAACTCGGATTCCCAATTTTTCTTTGTTAGCCCAGCTAACACTTAAAGAAAGCTGGACAAGATTGATTTTTTAAAAGAGTATTTTATTGGGGCTCTTACAGCTCTTATGATAATCCATACATCAATTGTATCAAGCATATTTGTACATTTGTTTCCATCAATTTCTAAATATTTACTTTCCACTTGATCTATTGGTATCAGCTCTTCTCCCCGCCCTCCCCCACCCACCCACCCCCACCCCCGTGACCCTTGATAAATTATAAATTATTATTAAATTCATATCTTACATTGACCACTGTCACCCTTTACCCATGTGGAAGTGGGGGGGCAGGATATTATGCATTGATCATTGCTATGGGTATCCAAGATTATTTTCAAATAACATTAAGTTAGGAGGTGATAGACAAACTGAAGTCCTGGCAAAAATATCTGGCTTGGGGTTTCTAGTGCTTAGATTTTCCATATTTGCATATGAGATGTCTGGAAATGTCTTAGGTATTTGACTTCAGGAACATAAAGTATAGCTGAGACCTATGGGCTCTTATAACCTGCAAATTGAGCCCTGTTGCTGAAGGAGGCCCTCCCTGCCTCCAGGCCATCGCCAGAAGTACTCAGCTCCTTTTCTTTGGGGCTAATTGACCACTCTTCTGTGCTACTTTCCTATTTGCCTTCTTTCTTTTAATTCAAATTAGCAATATTTTATGTACTATTGTGCAGAGTCTGCTTTTAATTTGACTATGAGTAGCCCCAGTAACTCTTTTTCTACCCTGAGAAAG